AGAGACGTTCAAGATCGCTGTTGAAATAAGCTTTCGGGACTAAAGCCATGTTGAGAGACCCCCTTTTTGACTGCACCAGGATTTTCAACTCGCCAAATCATCCCGCGGTGACACAATGCCGCCTCCTCTTCGTTTCGTTTTTTTTTTTTGGGGGGGGGGGGGGGCCGGGGAGCGCCGGAGATACCCCAAACAAACTGAACCTCGATCTGAGATCGGGAAATCCAGAATCCTGGCTCCCAAGTGTTTGGTCACGCCACCGTTCGGAAGAATTATCAAACATCAGGCGGTTTGTACAGTTATCCCCAAACCCTTTAATGTGACTTGTACAGTGACGGGGTGAGGCGTGTCTCAGCGCTTTCTCGGGGCAGGCAATGGAATCTGGCGTCCAATCGACCTCGCTCTGAGAGGCGCCATGAAGCACGTCGAGTGATGCGCTCACATCCGAGGTTGTCCACTCCCACTTCACAACGAGCCACTGGGACGAAGAAACACCCCTCCCCCAATCGGTGCTTCGTCGTCACCACGCAAGTTGCCGAACTTGTGTGGTGGCTCTGCAAGTCCAGGCATTGTCAGCATAACGTCGCAGCACCTTCACCCGCTTCGGGGTGCCGGCCTCACCCTGGTTCATTCTGCTTTTTCAATCTATCGAATCTATCTGACCGCGTCACGGCTGCAATCACAATTCTAGAATGAGCATGGGAAGCAGTGGGACCATGTGGTCCAAGGCAGCGATCGCGGCGGACTCTACCAAGGCTCACTAATATGTGATCCGACCACTGACAGCAGTGCTAGGAGGCGAGCCTGATAGAGCGTGTCTGATGGGCACGGCTGTGAAGTTGATGAATGAATGTGGGGCAGACCACCTCTTCACAGCAGACGAGACCAAACGGGGAGAGGGTACCTTGGGGTACCCGCCGTTACGCCCACTGGCAATCCCAGGACACCTAAGACACCCCTCTTCTAACCAACCCCGCCGTCTCAGGACCTCGCGCTCCATTTGTGCAACTCTGTCAGCCACCGCGACCAGCAGCACTTCACTGGAACAGATAGCCTTCTTCTTCATTTTAGTCATCGAGACTGTTTCAGAGAGCTAGGGTTTTGGTGAGAGCTCGCTTCGAGGACACCACCGTCGCTGTGCTTTCCTGATTTCTCCCAGTCAACCGACTCCACAGGTATAGTTCCATTACGGCTTGTTGCGGCCCGCAGCCACGCAACCATCCCTCTCACCCTACGTCACAGCGGTAACCCTCCCGAGGATGCCATAATACGGCGGGATCGAGACTCTCGCCTAGTCCTTCCGGTTAGGGTGTACTTTGCTCAGCAACACTCAATAGTGCAACAGTGTGGGCTCAACAGCATGGGAAAGATGTCGTCAAGGAGTCCCCGTGCTAGTCCCGGAGAACTACTTGGTTCGCGCGGTTCGGAACTAGGGAGAGAGTAATCGCAAAAGAAACGCAGTAGGTGAAAGGAAAGCTCATGGACGCCCTGAAAAGCGCCCCCGGTGGGTCCTTTGAGGGGCGGGATGCTCTATGATCTGTCACTGCCGCCCTACTGGCGGCTCGCCCACAGATGCACTGATCGCCGGTTTGGTAAGACGCTTCGCTCTGCTGGCCACTCACCGGCATTGACGGACGCCTGCGTGGGTGAGACCCTTGCTCTCTCTCCACGCCGGTTGAGAACAAAAAGAAATCATAATGATTCTCATTTTTCTGTCTGAAGCTGACGGGCCATTTGCCAGCCAGCCACTGGCTGTGCACCTTTCGCCTACTACGTTGGCCGAGGGTCAGAGGAGGAAAGGCCTTTCACCGCTCATCTGCCAGGAGGCCGGGGCAGCGGCACTTGATTGAATGGCAGGGCCGATTTGAATCGTTCCAGCTTTTCTCCGATCGCTGCCCTTCGATCTTGTTCAGGTCCGTCATCATATCCCCACCAGCCACCGCGCCGGATGACTGGACGGAGCTGACTCCGCCACGGGGGCAGATTATGGCAGGTGGGTAAGATAATCAGCGCCCAGAGGAGGTGCGGGCTCGGAGGGGGTTACACAGCATTCCTGTCTCCCCCCAGGGCTGTTGAGCGGGTGGATTTCAGCCCTACCTCTCATCCTATCTCCGACCTCCGACTCGGTGGTGTGGCTGCTCCGAAAAATCGATTGGGCATTCTGACCGAAACTGAAGGCCTATCAGATAGGGTCTAGACGGCGTTCATCTGATGGGGGAATTGTTTTGCCATCGCCACGACGAAGCAGAGAAGGTAGGCCCTGGCTGTGCAAGGCTCGGGAGATTGGGGGCAGCCGTTTCATCTCTTTTTTTTCATTCTGAGTTGACGCGGTACGCGACGACCGACTGCCGACTGCCGATTGCCCCACCCAGCCATCCCATCCATTCATGAGCCATCAGGCTCTGTCACGGTCGAGGGAGTCAGTCACTGAGCCTCAACACCCAACTAGTTGCCGTTTCAAGATGCGGTTGCAGCTCGGCACCCTCGGTCAATGGACTACTACACGTAGGCATCCCTGGGCAAAGTGCTAGTGGTGACGGAGCGGTGTGTCTTATTGCGGCATGTTCGGTTGGTTTTCGACCTCGCGTACTTCGGTTGTCGACAATGTACCAAAAGTCACTTTTCGATACATTCGAGGTCACGGTCTAGACAAGTGAGACTCGGGGTATGCTTACTACGCCCCTTGGCTCTCTGAGTTTATCACCTCCCTTGTCCAAAGGTTTAGAGGTGGGCTTGACGTTGCATTGCTGGCGGCTCACGTTGCAGAAAGGCCCTGAGCCAGGTCGGATATATGCACGTGACTCTCTCATGCTTTTCCACAAGATGGTGAGCGTGTGTTGCGCTCATTTTTGGCTTGGTACCGCGGGTGTGGTTAGATCCGCCATGACAGTGCTGTGCATGACGGTCCTGTGTCTTTGTCTGCATGCCCTAGTCCGCTAGCCTCTCCGGCTGATGCCGGCACGAAGATCCGGCACGAAGATCCTCGGCCCTCGGCGCCGTTGCTGCGCTTTAGCTCCGTTCTCCTTTGGGTGGGTAGGATGGCGGGTTCCAGGTCCCAGGGATTCAAACGGGACCAAGACTGTGAATGGCGCTATCGTATTTTTGATGGATTTTAACTGGAACGGGGAACGGCATCCGGTTGGAGATGCGTCGAGTCCTGAATTAATTCCCGCGGGGGCCGTGGAGTAACAATTCAAGTCCCGTGCGGGGGATGCTCAACCCGCGGGCGGTTTCCGCCCAACCCAGCCCGCGACGGAACTTTGACGTTCGGCATCCAACGCTGAACATCCAAGGATGGGATGGCACATTGCGCCGTGTGTCTGTCGGGATGGATGAACCACGGTAACAAGCGTCTGCAAAGCCGGATATCAAACCCGAGTCGAGCCCAGAAGCCCCGAAGTCTGCCATGCCATGCCGCGGCTTATCGACCGGCCCGTCTCCGTGTGCGCGACCAGGTATGCGCCGCTCCAGTGCGTGCCGCGAATGCGCATCTGGGTGCCATTTCTGCGAGAACCATGCAGAAACGTCGAGATTTCGAACCGCCGAATGTCCCCGGGAGGAAAAGGACAGCAAGTCAAAGATATCGGACGTTTCAATTGTCCGACATGAGGTCATTGTGGTGAGACCCTAGTTGATATGTGGATTTTGCCCTCTTCTCGATACGATTCCGGGTTAGATGGCTGCTCCTCGGGACTAATTAGCCCGCGCGGGCCGGGTACGACGCTGACAGGTTCCGCGGAAAACGTTTGTTGGTTGTTGACTTGGACTGATGCCCCGCTAGGGAGCTTCAATTGCTCTCTGGCAGTCCTGGTCCTGGACAGCTTCCTCTCCGTGGGGATGATAGTTTGTGGTTTGGAATGCGCTTCTTGGACGAAGGAGAATTCTGGACCCCGATACGACGATTGAGATGTGCAGCATGTTGTGCGACGTTGTCGATGTCGAGTGTCGGGTCTGAGGCAGTGAGATTTGGCCCGTGGGATTCGGCTTGGCGATCCTGATGGCGATGGCGTTGCCGTCGCTAGTACCGTTGCGGTAAACAATGAAATACTGGGTTACATACGTGTGGATGCTTGGAGGAACCTCTGGTACGCAGGATCTGTCGGTTGGTATACGAGGAGGCTTGGGCAATGTTGAGATGGTGTCGGAGACTCCTTTCGAGATAGGGGAGTCCTGATCTGTCCTGTTCTGAGCGCATGGGCTGATCTTGGCAGTAGGGTCCATCGTTGCTGCCTTGAAGAAAAGGGGGATGTTGAAAATGGTTGTGTCTGTTTGAATGCCTTGGGATCTCGATGCAGCCGAGGGTGCGTGTATCGAGCGGCGAGAGCTACGGCGACTTCGACGGCGGGCACGTGGGATAGAAGTTCGGCAAGATAGTTGCCCTGCTTCTCATTGTTCACTACGGGCTGAATGGGTATCAAGATTTGCATGGCAAGGGCCGAGAAGAAGGGTGGGGACTTACCTTTTGGTCAAGACCTGTCTGAAGGAGTATTGAGGGGAATGGCTTTTGTGTGCAACCAGTTGATGCAGCTATCAACATGAGAGCCAGAGTTTATCGTATGATGGGTTGCTGATGGGCAACAACAGAGCAACCAGAAAGATTTGGGAAGAATGTAGCTCGTCATCATGTGTTGTCTTGATCTTCTGGTGCGGTCGTGAAGATGGCTGCAAACGGGGAGAGGACGCAGAAACGCTGATATCCAACCCCTCCCGGGAGCGACGTTGGTGAGGGAGCGACGTTGGTGAGGGAGTCACCCGGCGTGGTGATCCTCGGAGTCAACAAAGCCCAAGAACCAAAACGGTGTTTAAGGTGAAGTTGGTTGCTGCTTTTCCACCCAAAAGACCTGACTCACCGGATGGAAGCACCTTCCCGTGACCCAGCAAGACAAACAGAAACCACACCCTCCTCGCATCTTCCATCCCAACACCCAAGCACCGCCAGCCAAACAGCCACACGGTATCAGCAAAGGAACAACACCTCCTTCCAACAATTAGAAAGAAACTAGTCTCCTGTAGTACAGAGGTTAGTATGGGGGCTTGTCAACTTGTGTTGCAGTCCGCCCTTGACCCGGGTTCGAATCCCGGCGGGAGAGTACAGAGATTGTTTGTTTTTTTGCTCCTGTCCCTCTTTCGCCTCACTGTCTTGAGCCTGACTGTGTTCCCTTTTTGCGGTCAAGGTCCAAGTGTCTCACCACGATGGGGACCAAAAGGCACCCCGATTTAACTGCTGGATCTGCGTAGATGCTCTTGCCAGGGTTGCCGCCACACTAAAGTGACGTATGATGCCGAGGTTGTCCTTTCTGCTGATCATTTGAAGGACACTCTGGTGTTTTTGCTCGGGGACCTGTGGCAACAGTTCCGGACCAAAGTGTCAACACCAAGGAGCAATCTCCAAAGTGATTGACTTCACATCAATCGTGGATATAAAACCCTACGCATCGCACCAAAATGAAACTTAAGGCGCCGCGAGGAAGTGAAAAGAGACCTCGTTGCAACCCTATGAACCGTCAGACACTAGTATCGACTAGCAGGGGTCGCTGACAAGTGGCTTCATCCTTCAAGCCATCAGCTCGATACTAGTATCAACCTACATACTAGTACCTTATCCAGGCCCACATCTAACTACGGTACTTTTGTTTAACCTCAACCCATTATAGTGTTGACAACATAATACAAGCTCCGCGACCTCATCCAATGCCGCCAGCTCCCCATGTTGAATCCGCTCCTTACCCCCCTTTCCCCCCTCAATACCTCCAAATCGCATCCGCCATCGACACCACCTGCGCCATCTCCTTCACATCATGCACCCTCACCACATCCGCACCCCCCTGCACAGCCGCCGCAACCGTCGCCGCCGTTCCCCAGATCCTCTCCTTCGGCGTCGGCACCCCCGTGACCTGTCCGATAAAGCTCTTCCTGCTCGAGCCCACCAACCACGGTAGCCCCTGCAGTCCAGGCCAATGCCTAAGCAACTCCAAGTTCCTCAGCACATCTACATTCTGCATCCCGATCTTGGCAAATCCCAGTCCGGGATCGAGCACAATACGCCAGCGACGAATCCCTGCTGCCTCGGCAGCTTCGACGCGGGAAACCAGCTCGCGAGCAATTCCCACGATGAGGCCGCCTTCGGAAGGCGGGTAATCCGCCAGCGAGGACATGGTAGCAGGTGTGCCGCGCATGTGCATGAGGCAAACCGTTGTGCCGAGGCGGGCAACGGTGGGGAGCATGTCGGGATCCACCGACCCGCCGGAGACATCGTTGACGATGTCTGCACCGGCGGCGACGGCAGCCTCGGCGACACGGGCGCGGTAGGTGTCGACGCTGATGAGGGCGGGTTGAGTGAAGTGGGTGCGGATGAGCTGGATGGCGGGGACGACGCGGGAGAGCTCCTCTTCGGTGGAGACTTCGGGAGCGCGGGGGGCGGTGGATTGGCCGCCGATGTCGATCATTGTGGCGCCGGCGTCGAGGAGGGATTGGACTTTTGCGAGGAAGGAAGGGGGATCGAGCTCGGGGAGCTGGCCGCCGTCGGAGAAGGAGTCGGGGGTCATGTTGAGAATGGCCATGACGTGGGTTTTGCGGTCCGGCTTGAGCGCTTGGATCGGGGGGTGGTGAGCGGAGAGGGGGGTCATGGTGGTGAGCGGGGGATCGGAAGGAGGGAGCTTGTCGAGGAGATCGCGGGTGAGGGTCCAGGGGCGGGCGTGATCGATGGGCTTGTCCGGGATGAGTTCGGCGAGGGGACGGAGGACAAACTCGCGCTCGGGGATGCCAATGTGAGGCACCTTGAGGCGCTCATGGTCGATCTTCAGATTCTCATACAGGAGAATGTCAAGGTCGATGTTGCGGGGGCCCTTGTCGATGACTTTCTTGCGGCCGAGGGCATTCTCGACCTCTTGGAGAGCGTCCAGCAGCGCTAAGGGCTCCAGGGTCGTCTCGACCTGGCATGCAGGTTAGTCTTGCACTGCATGGTACAACGTGGCAGAGAGAACGGACGCACCTCGCAGGCTCCATTAACAAATCTATCCTGGTCTAATACGTACATGGGCTCTGTTTCCCACAGCGAGCTCGTCCGCTTGACTTTGATGCCTCTTGCGTCCATTTCGTTGCACGCCTTCTCAATCCAGGCAATCCTATCGCCCATGTTGCTCCCTAGGGCGATATACGCCGTCCGCTTGGCGGGGAGCTTGGATGTATCTGTGCCGTTCATTTTCTTCTTTTTCTGCGGTGGCAGCGAATACTTTTTGAAGCTGAGCGAATCGGCCGCTGCTCGTCGCGTCGACTGTGAAAAATGCCTCTGAGGGGTCCTGCTCAATGGCAGGTGGGTGCAGACCACTCGGACATGCCTAGATATTGGAGATATCGGTGTGTGGCTGTTCAATGGCCTGAACACGACCGTTGCAAAGTGCCTCATGTTCTGCGTTTTGCCGCGTCGTCACGATAAGATGCGATGGCGACCAAGTCGTGACATGAGTGGATCAATTGGAGTCGAAGATCGGATGAAAGTCACTAAAAAGGGTTAGGGTTGGAATACCCCAGCCGTCAATGGCTGAAGTTATCCGCTGGTAACCGCCACCAGGGAAAGCCGCGGTTCATGGGGTTAAGCTTGAACGCACTTCGCTGTCAGCGCTCGAGTCAAACGTCTACAACGGCTTTGGGGGGGGGGAGACAGAGGCTCTGCAACCGCACAAGGCGCCGAGAGTCTTACGGATCATCAGCCCAGAACGGCCCTCACCCCTCAGAGGAGCCCGTCGAGGCTTTTTGGTGCCTCGGCTTTTTGCCCCATGAAAGTGTTGCCCCTCTATCCGAGTGGGCGGCTCGGGGCACCAACTCGGCTTAGCGCCACAAGTCAGACTCTCCAGACCTCGGCACATGCACCCAAGGATTGCGGTTCAAGATGCGGGTGCCTCCCCGGATCCCTAGATCACTTTTCCCCATTTCCCTCTCTGTTCCAGCCACCATATCCTAGCATCATCGAACTACCTGCCACAGCGTTTGTTCAACCGTCACCATGGCCTCTCCACGTATGCAGCCCGTCTTCCCGAACAGCAATTGCGGTCGCATTGCTCTCCTGGCCCCGCGCAACGCCGCGTCGCAAAGCTGTCAGCTGACAATGGTTTCGCACAGAGAAAATCCGCACTCCGATCACCGATGTCTTCGGGATCAAGCACCCCATCCTGCTGGCAGGTATGAACGTCGCCGCCGGCCCCAAGCTGGCCGCGGCCGTCACCAACGCTGGCGGTATGGGTGTTCTCGGCGGTATCAGCTACACTCCCGACATGCTCAGGGATCAGATCGGTGAGCTCAAGTCGCACCTCGTCGACAAGAACGCACCCTTCGGTGTCGATCTCCTTCTTCCCCAGGTCGGCGGCAACGCCAGGAAAACAAAGTGCGCTCCCCGGCCCCGCGTTAGACTCTTGCTGACCGATATTGCTTTGCAGCTACGACTACACCAAGGGCAAGCTTAACGAGCTCATCGATGTCATTATCCAGTCCGGCGCCAAGCTCTTCGTCTCGGCCGTCGGTGTGCCCCCCAAGCACGTCGTCGAGAAGCTCCACAAGCACGGCATCCTCTACATGAACATGATCGGCCACCCCAAGCACGTCAAGAAGTGCCTCGACCTCGGCGTCGACATCATCTGCGCGCAGGGTGGTGAGGGTGGTGGCCACACCGGCGACACCCCCACAACGATCCTCATTCCCGCCGTCGTCGACCTCGTCCGTGGCCACAATTCCCCCCTGACCAACAAGCCCGTGCAGGTTATCGCCGCTGGTGGCATCCACAACGGCCAGCTCCTGGCCGCCGCCCTTATGATGGGCGCCAACGCTGTGTGGGTCGGCACGCGCTTCGTCCTCTCGGAGGAAGCCGGTGCTCCCGAGGCGCACAAGGAGGCTGTCCGCACATCCGGCCACGACGATAACATTCGCACCGTCATATTCACAGGCCGCCCCATGCGTGTCAAGAAGAACCCCTATATTGTCAATTGGGAGGAGGAGCGCCAGGCCGAAATGAAGGAGCTCGTCTCCAAGGGCAAGATCCCCTACGAGGCCGATCTCGACAAGGTCCTAGCTGGTGAGGCTGAGAACTCCCCTGGCATTCAGGGATCGGGTCTCCTCAACGCCACCAACGAGGACGATGGGGATATCGAGGACAAGTTCGATGAGTTCCGCCCTTACCTGATGGGCAAGTGCGCGGCCGTGTGCAACGAGAAGAAGCCGGCGAAGGCCATTGTTGATGACTTTGTCAATGATGCTGTCAAGTGGATGCGGAACGGCAACTCGTATATTGTATCGACTGCTAAGCTTTAGATGGGGAAAGATGATACCTAGAGTTGAATATGCCTGTACATATAGCGTGTTCTGTGTCCTATAAATGGGAATGATTTAAGCATTTTGGATACATTTTGGCATTTTGGTCTAGCATTGCGTGTTTTGTGAAGTTCTCAGATGTTGAATACTGTCAATCAGATACTGTGCGTTTTATGCGTTGCTGTCCCTCCATCTTCGGCGGCACAAACAAAGAGTCTCGCATGTGCCGCGATTTTCGGGCGATCGCGACAGGGGGTTTCCACGGCTTGAGAAAACCAGGACAGCTGCAATGTGACGACACCGCCGAGGCGCCGCCCGCTATGCCGTTCAGGGAGATCCTTCCAGCCCCCGCCTTCGCTTCACGGCGGCTCCCCACAACCTCATCTGAGGCTCATCCTGAGATTTCTCTCTCAAAAGGAAACACACAGTTTTGAGTCGAGTTTGAGATATACTCCATAAAAAAAAAGATGCCTCGCCTCCCAGACGACGGAGCTGGATATGAGTCCGACGACTCGGAGAACCTCTTCGAGCAGGGCGCTCGTAGGGCCAAGAACCTCTGGTCTGGGTTCCTCGACTTCGCCATGCAAGGCAACGTCCTCGAAATCGCCTTCGGTTTGATGTATGCCGTGCCGTTCTCTCTGTTTAGTCTCTTTAGATTTCGATGCTAACATAAAAATAGCATCGCCTCCATGTTCACAGCCGTTGTCACCTCCCTCGTCACCGACATCCTCCTCCCGCCCCTCTCCGTCCTCCTCCCCCTCAACAAAAACCTCGAAGAAAAGTTCGCCGT